ATAATAATTTTTATTTATAGCCCGCCCCTCTGCCCAACAATCGAGGCATGCTACAGCATTAAATCAAAACAAAGTTAAAAACATCTCCACTCCCCTAATCTCACCCTCCCAACCCCTTAAAACAAGAATAAACAAGAAAAGATTAAAATGCCATCAGCAATAAAAACAATAAAAACCAAAACAAAGCGATCACACGCGATAAGCAAAATGATAAGCTGAAAAACTCATCTCCCTGGGCAGATATATTCCGGAAAGTGTTATTCCGGGAAGGCCTGCCAGAAGAGATCCGTCTTCACTGCCTTCTTAAAGGCAGTAAGCATGGTAATAAGATGGATCTCATCCGGCAGGCCATTCCACAGCCTGGGAGCGGCAGCAGAAAAGGTCCTCTGGGAGGTCTGAGACAGCCTAGTTTTTATTGGCTGTAGCAGACTCCTCCCAGAGGACTGAAGGGCACGGGGGGGCCATATGGGGAGAGGCGGTCCCTAAGATAAGATGGACCCAAGCCATGTAGGGCTTTAAAGGTTAAAACCAGCACCTTGTACTGCGCCCGGAAACTAATTGGCAGCCAGTGGAGGAATTTAAGCACCGGTGTTATGTGCTCTCTCCTAGATGTCCCAGTAATTAGCCCGGCTGCCATATTTTGCACCAATTGAAGTTTCTGGGTTAGGCACAAGGGTAGCCCCATGTAGAGCGCGTTGCAGTAATCCAGACATGAGGTTACCAGAGCATGTACCACAGTTTCCAAGTCCCTCATGCCCAGATAAGGGCGCAGTTGGCGTATCAGCTGAAGCTGATAACAAGCATTCCTGACTTCCACATTCACCTGACTAGTCATATGAAGCGACGAGTCAAGGAGTACCCCCCAGACTGCAAACACAGTCCTTGGAGGAGAGTGTGACTCCATCCAGGACTGGAGACTGTATTCTCAAATCTGGTTTTGGGCCCGTCACTGTTAGTACCTCCGTTTTGTCTGGATTCAGTCTCAATCTATTTTTCGTCATCCAATCCATTACCGCCTTAAGACAATCATTGAGAGGAGAGATGCCATCTGAGGTTTGGGCAGACAATCGGGTCATGGAGAGATATATCTGGGTGTCATCAGTGTACTGAAGAC